ATCTCTCTCGCTCGTTCGCTCTCACTTCTGCTTTCTCTCCTTTTTCCTCTTTCTCTTTCCCTTCCATTATTCCTTATTCTCCGTCTCCTCCGTGTCCATCGCATGTTCTCTTTCCCTTCCCTCTTGCTTCCACGTTCCCTCGGCCATGATGATGATAATTTCATGACTCATTTTAGGGGAGTAACTCAAGTCACGGGCGAAATTGCCTCCATCCCCGACATACCTCTCGCAGCTACCGTTGTCTCCCCTCTCGGCCTGTGTTCTCTATTCCTGTTTTCTGAATTTCCCTCTCCCTCGTGCTTCCTAACCTACAAAACGCACTTCCCTCTCTCGGTGTCTTTTATTTAGGGTCTTCTTTCTCTTATTTTACAGTGTTCTGATCCTCCCCTATCCTCTCTTGCCGCCTCCATCCCCTATCCTCCGCCCGGCCGTTCCTTCATTGGTCCCTCAGGTGCCCTGCCGCGGTTCCTGCCCGTCATGTCACCGTCGACGGACTTGTGGGTCGCGGTCACGGATTCCCTTGGACTGAGTGACCCCTTCAGCGCTTCGGGAGAAAGAAAACGGGAGGCCAAAATAGAGGTGTCGGCATGTCTGACGTGACTCGCCATTGATGGTCGAAAATAACCTCTTAGGAATATATGTGGGCTGGGGAACATATTTTTTCTTTTTTGTGTGTGTTCGCCACGTGAGCTCAAGCTTAAACTAACGATTTGAAATGTTTGGGCTCATTAAAGATTTCAGTTTATTCATGTATGCATTTTTTGTGGCTTTGTTTTTTATTTAGGTCCTCTAGATTTTGAAGCGGCGCCAAACTATAGGGGTTAATGAAATGTTCTTCCTGTTTTTCTCTTGTGTTTCTTTTAAACCTTTTGTCTTTTTGCTCTTCTCACCTGGTGTAAGGGGCTGCACCCACTGATGGTGTTTACATTGAGCAGGTTTGTTTTGACGTGGGACCTGACCTCGCTGTTTGTATTTTTAGACGCCCCAGGGCCTTGGGAATATGCACAGCGAAATGCCCAGGGATGCAGGAACCGGACACTTCTGTCATCTTTCTTTCTTTCTTTTTTAATTCGATGATGTAAACGTGTAGGCGCGTCGAGCTAACGGGGTGGGGGAAGGGAGGGTGGGGGAGGGGGGGGGAGGTAGGCACAGTCAGATATGAACGATGGGAGTGATTAATTGGGTTTAATGTTTGCGTGCCAAAGCATATATGCTTGCTTCAGTTCACACGCTCTCATTTATTCTCTCTCTCTCTCTCTCTCTCTCTCCATCTCGCTTATTCTGCTCTCTCTCTCTCTCTCTCTCTCTCTCTCTCTCTCTCAATCTTCTCACATCTCTCTCTCTCTCTCTCTCCTCCTCTCTCTCTCTCTCCACACACACACACACACACACACACACACACACATCACACACACACACAACACACACACCAACTCTCTCCTCATCTCTTCTCTCCTTCTCTCTCCCTCTCTCATCTCTCATCTCTCTCCATCGCTCTTCTCATCCGTCTCTCTCTCTCTCTCTCTCATCCTCTCTCACTCCTCTCTCTCTCTCTCACTCCCCCTCACTCTCCTCTCCTCACCTATCTAATCTATCTCTATCTATCTCATCACTCTCCTCTCCTTATATTTACTGCAGACAATAAAGCAGCAAAACCAAAACAGAAAAAGTGAAGATGGACATGTCACCTTTATAAGATTCTTTTGTGTTCCTTGACATTACAATCCTAAAGTGAGTGGACCCGCCACTCCCACCGACCCAACCCCTTCTCTCTGCTTGTTTCATTTGTTTTGTTTTGTTGTTCCTAATGTTCGTCCTTCTCTTCTTAACCTCCCTCTCCCCTCTCTTTTATCAGTCCCTTTCCCACGTCTCACAAATAACTTACCCTAGGCTTACCTCTCTCCCTCCTCCCTCCTCTTCTCCTCCCCTCCCCCTCTCCTCCTCCTCCTCCCTCCCCCCTCTCTCCGTCCTCTCCTCTTCTCTTCCCCCCTCCCTTCTCCTCGCCTCCTCTCCTCCTCCCCCTCCTCCTTCTTCGCCTCCCTCCCCTCCCCCCCCTCTTCCCCTCTCCCCCCCCTCCTCTCGCCTCTTCCCTCCCCCCTCCCCATCCTCCTTCTCCTCCCCCTCCTCCTCCTCTCCTCCCCCCTCCCCCCTCCTTCTCTCCCCCCCTCCTCCTCTTCTCCTCCCCTCCACCCCTCCCCTCTCCCATTCCCCCTCGCCCCCCCCCCCCCCGCCGACGCATGATATCGGGTAAATAGGCCTGCCATTAGAAGGCTCGGTCTGTTTGTTTAGATAAGCGTTTCGCCGAGAAAGCCTTGGGTCTGAGAAAAAGGCGAATGGAAAAAAAAAGAAGTAGAAGAAGGAAAAGAGAATATTGATGATGATGGGAATGGGGAGATGATGATGGAGGATGGGATGATGGTATTGATGAATGGGGATGGGGATGGGGATGGGGGTGGGGATGGGGATGGGGAATGAATGATATGATGATGATTGATGATGATGATGATGAATGAAGGATGATGATGAGATGATGAATGATGATGATGATGATGAAAGAAGAAGAAGAAGAAGAAGAAGAAGGAAGGAGGAGGGAGGAGGAGAAGCAATAGTTATTATGAAGGTGGAACTTCGTAATAGTTTTGTTGTTTGTGATTTTTTATGGCAGGTAGTTTTTAGCATTATTGGTAGTACCTGTTAGCGTGCGTGAGGCGGGATAAGATTATGAAATCTAGATAGTGAGCTTGGAGTTGGAGTTAGTTCAGAAATAATATGACACTCGAAAAGAAACAGAGTAAGGAGAAGAAGGAACAACGAGAAAGCGTTAAAAAAAGAAAGAAAAGGAAAAAAAAAGAAGGAAGAGATCAGAGGACGCCTTTTCTAACATTCTTTCGTCGGATGCTCATTTCCGTTAATGGCCGTAATGTTGGCGGCGGTACGTGCAAATGGTAATGTTGTTGGTGCCACGGATGCTTCACCTACGCATGCATGTATACGCTTGAATAATATACGCAAGCATGCGCGTGTAATGTTTGCTCTACGCGCGCGAGAGTGAGGAGATGAAAAGAGAGGAGAGAGAGAGAGAGAGAGAGAGAGAAGAGAGAGAGAGAGAGAGAGAGAGAGAGAGAGAGAAGAGAGAGAGAGAGAGAGAGAGAGAAGAAGGGCTAATTAAGGCGGAGCCGGAGCCATGACGATGAGAGAGAGAGAGAGAGAGAGAGAGAGAGAGAGAGAGAGAGAGAGAGAGAGAGAGAGAGAGAGACGAGAGAGAGAGAGAGAGAGAGAGAGGACAGAGAGAGAGAGAGAAGAGAGAGAAGAAAAAAAGAGGGAGCCAAGGCTAATTAAAAAGGCGAGACGAGCCAGTGATTGCCAGCGCGGTGACTTGGCCATCTTAACCGTACACAGTTTAGATAACCTAGAAACCTCCGATTACATCTAAGAGCGGAGAGAGAGATATAAACATGACTCGTCCAGGTGGGTATTAAGGTCACCCCAGAGCCGGACGACCCGCGCGAGGAGTGCCATAGGAGCCCCGATGGCGTGGCGTCGACCTCACGTGACCGGCTCTCCCGGTGCCGTGACACTGGCCTGCGTGCCAAGGTGACCCTGGCCGGAGGAATGCATCCCCGGGTCGTCTGGCTGAACGCGCGCTGGCTACTGTGGTTGAGGTTTATGAGGTTTATGAGTAGTTTTTTTGTGGTTGTGGCGTGCGGCGTGAAGTGGGCGTGGGGGTTGTGGTGAAAGAGGATTGTTAACGCCCGCGAGGGGATGTGGGGGGGAGAGGGGTAAGAGGGCGTGGAGGAGGGTAATAGAAGCAAGAACGAGAAGGGAAGGAGGGAGGGAAAGGATTACGAGAAGCAGATCGAGAAGGGAAGGAAGAGGAGGAAGAAAGGAGACAGGAAGTAGGAAAGGAGGGAGAGACAGAGAGGAAAGTCAGAGGGGGGCGGGGACCTTCAAGAAGGAGAGAGGGAGAAAGAGAAAGATCTGGGAGAGGTATAAAGAGCAAGGAATGGGGGAGAAGGGATAGGAGGACAGATAGAAGTCAAGGAAAGAAGGACAAGATATTATATAGGTCACAGAAAGGTCGCAGTCGTCAAGTTGACAAAAACAAAACAAACAGTCGTCATGAGTAAGCAAACAGTACCGGTCGTGACGTCACTGGTTATTTTCAAGTAAGTGACGTCACTGTTATTTCAAGCGCCACTTTGACATTCAGTAAACCACATAAAATGAATGCGGGATCGATGCAATAATTTTCCCGGGTAGTACTGTTTATTTATTTCGCGGCCAATTTAGCGAAATTACAAAGCATTTCTCTTAGAACGCCATATTTGGGTGATGGACGAGCTTCCGTAATTGTGCACATGCAGAATGATTTCCCAGGGTGCCAATTTGGATAACGACAGGTGCAAGTAAATCATCAATTATTTGGAAAGATATGAAATGCCTGGAAGTGGCACAGGGCCGTGTTATTTATTTTGCTTTTTGTCTCGTTCGTGTCTTTAGTTTTTGTAGTCCTTTCTTCTTCTTCTTCTTCTCTCTCTCTCTCTCTCTCTCTCTCTCCCTCCCCCTCCTCCCTCCCTCCCTCCCTCTCCCTCTCTCTCTCTCTCTCTCTCTCTCATCCTCCTCTCTCTCTCTCTCTCTCTCTCTCTCTCTCTCTCTCTCTCTCCTCTCTCCTCCTCTCGTCTCGTCCCTCTCTCCCTCTCATCCCTCCCTCCCTCCCTCCCTCCCTCCCCCTCCCTCCCTCCTCCCTCTCCCTCTCCCTCTCCCTCTCCCTCCCCTCCCTCCCTCCCCTCCCCCTCCCCCCTCTCTCTCTATCTCTATCTCTCTATTTCTCTATATCTTTATCTATTGTATCTATCTAATTCACCCCTCTCCCTGCATGTATAGATGTGAATGCAGTTAACAGTAGTTTTAAAGGCCGGCTTTGAAATGAAAATCTCCCCTCCACGTCAATCAGCATCGGGACGAAGTGTTACACAAATGTGAATGAATAAAAAAAAGAA